CAACAGGATCTCCATTCATCTTTTTTTGTCTTGATCTTTTAATGTCCTGATTATTTATGGGGATCCTTGTTTATCACATAGAGCTTACTGCTTTTGAATTTTCATAGCTATTTTTACTTGTTCAAATTGAAATCCTAAAAGTCCATCAGTACAGCCAGTCAAGCTTTCGACCCACCAAGAATTTTCTAGAGCGAATCTTCTGGACTGGTCGATGGGCATCAGTACGAGCAGATCTGTTTAGAGTATACACACAAAAGCACAATAATATAGTTGGCAAAGCTCAGATATGCATTCGACCATCGTGCGAGTGATGCGAACTATAGAATAATCTTTGATCTAATGAGGGCGATTTCTTGCTCTTATCTGGTGACGCATACAGAAAATCGCAGCTGTGCTAATCGAGTCTATAGGGAGATCGAGTGCACGGGCAGAGACCAGGACTACGCGCAGCTGACTAATTAAAATTGGCGAGCCAGCCTCCCTGAGGCCATCGTTCAGCCACCGCCGGTTAATGAAAGCGGTCCACATAGCCCTACTTTAAATTCGATCTGATAGGAAGATATCCATTCCATGAAATAAGATCAGGCTCGTGGATAGAACGCAGAATATTCATGAGGCAACTGGGAAAAGTTTCTGGGTTTTGCCTGGTCGGCACGACAACCTGGATGTCTGAGTAAAATAAAACTATACTGCAGACTACTGCTGTCGTCTAATAGTTAGATCGATCTGTCACCTTGTCAAACTTTCACACGAAATTCAAGTCAGCTCAGCTAGGCCATTTCGGATGGTGCCAGAGAGTCCGGCATTGCATAAGGCTGAGATTGAGAAATGCCTGACAGAGGAAGGATTTCGCTACATATATCAGTTTGTCTCAATTAGACAGCATTGGCGCTCAAGATATGAAATTCTGGAGCTAATTTGGATGCACAAAAAAAGCCCTTTAACTGTACCCTTCAATAAATACGGGTAAATTCTGGCATTTATCAATGAAAGATGCTGTGTGAAGATACTCATAGCCAATTTATGGGAGAAAAATAAATATCCTTGCTAAGCTTTACTTCCTCCTTAGAGCTTAGAAATTAGGCATGTGAGCTAGGTTAATTAAATAAAAATTGTACCGTAGGCTTATAGCTATTTATTTAGTGGTAGGATGAAAATCAAGTGTAAACAATACATGTAAAAATATATAAAAATACAGGGATGGCTTACAAAAAATATATTACAGTTGGTTTTGTGGAAGGAATTTTCTACAAATCTAATGGTAATTCGATTGTAAAGGATCGTTATGAAAAACAAGATGTAAAAATATGGAACAACGAAGTCGTTGACTTCGATACCATGACCATAGAATTAATCAGATCACCTGGATAAGTGGTTACCTTTAATAAATGCTATCATGCTCAATTGAAGAGTGTATGATTGCATGAAATACAAATACAATACATGTAAATAGATCGCACAGGCAATGTCAAACATTTTGTAGCAGGCTTAAAAAGGGGGAAAATCCCCAAAGGGGCAAAATGAACAGTTGTCCAAAATGAAATAGATGTTAAAGATAGAGTTGGGAAAGATGACAATGAAGAGCACCACTTAAACTTTCTATCGTAGCAAATTTAACGCGATAG